GTATAATTTCAAAACTATTATTCAGTGAAATCCCAATTCTAAATGAAGGAATTAAAGGTGATTTTATATTTTCTTAACTTGGCTTGTTCTCTCTCTCTCATGGTTGAAAGGCACTTTTAAAATAAACGATGTTATTGAAAAAAAAAGGGGCAATTAATAGGTCACTGGGTCCAATAGGTCACATTGCTACCTTTTCTACATATCATATAATCTCAATAATGAATTAAATTTCTTTGTTTGAGTGCTGTGATGCCTTTTTATCTATAGCATTGTGGCAAAAATAAGATTACCAAGAAGACAAAAGCATATTTAATCAACCAACTTAAAAGTGGACAAAAATCCAGTACTATGAGTTCTCCAACAAAGACAACAAAAGGGAAAATGGTAAGAAAGATAATCCAGTAGGTCAGAAAAGGAGAACTTCCACAGGATTATTACAGTGGATACTGAGGGTCTTTTTCCCCACTGACATTCTGTTTGTTTAAACCAAATTTACTTTTCTTAACATCTCTATGAAAGAGAAAAAGTTCATTATTCCATATACCTATGAACGGAGGTAAAGGGAAGTCATATGACTTGTTTGAAATTATACAATTAAGTCAATGGCTGAACTGTAAACAGAATGTAGGATACCCAACTGCTAGTCTGCTGCTCTAATGGATCATGCTCCCTGCTATGTAATAGGACTGTTTCCTTTAATTACAAATTCTTCATTCACCATCAGATTATCAGCCAGAGGCTTTATCATTAGTTTTGCTCTTCTTGCATTTATGGCGTTATTCCAAGAATATAAAAGTTCCATGTTAAAAATATAAAGACCACTGCTTACTGTTATCACACCAAATCTGAAAATTCCCACTGCCCTGGCAATACTTCACCAAGCCCACACTGAATGGCACAATTATAGGCAGAACTGCAATATTAACATCCATTTTGGGTTAGTCAGTGACTGGAGAAAAGAAATTTTGATTTTTATAGAATCATTAATATCAGTGCACTTAAAATCTTACATTAGGGAATTCTATGGTCTTATTAATCAACAATATTCACATTATATGACCTGTATGTAAAAGTCTAAAAGATAGCAAGATTGTTAAAGATACATTTTGGAGCATTTGTCATGTTGGAAAGTAGGGTAAGATTAAAATCATGGCGTACTCTTACATTCTATATTAAAATCTAGGGAAAAAAATGCAATGGAGTAAACAAACTAAATATCTGAAAAGAGGTGTGCAGTCACTTGTCTTTGAGAAGCACTTTGTGTTTCTTTGGCACATATCACAGCAGCAGTAGTAGCAGCAGCCTTGCCCTTGGTGCTGATTTCTTACTACTCTAAATGTCTCCTCTGAGCCAGAATACACTGGCTGTTGCTGATCATGCTGTGAGACACCTGCACTGGCTACTAGGCTTGTCATGACGCACAAAACCCTACCATCTTCAGCTTGACATTGTGCAAGTTATAATTATTCATCCAAATGAATATGTCAGAGCAGCAGCAGCAGACCTCTCATCAGAGCAAAAGAAAAATACATCAAAACATTATCAACCCAGCAGGAAGACAGGGACCATAAGGAAAATTACCCATTTTTAATATGGATGCCACAAAGCCATGTCTATTATTTTACAAAAAGAAAGGAAAATAAAGATCTTCCAAGTTTAAAGTCCAGAAACACTGAATCCAAGGAAAAAAATGTACAAAAGCAGATAAGGAATGTTTGTTTTTAAATCAATTATCTAGAACCTACTAACAGTCTCTTAAATATAAGTTTGCTATTAGACTACAACAGTAACATTTATTTTGCTTAAGAAACGCAATTGTTTAAAAATTGTTTTAAAAAAAATAATTCCCACAAGCAGAATTGTTTCCAACAAGTCAATGGGAAAAGGTCAAAAACGGCAAAGAAGTCTGCTATTGCTTCTTACTTTCAAAACACTCTTATCATGTCTAAAAGACTCAAGAGTTCGTACCCCTGGTAACATCACCAAAATATTTATGACGTATGGCTAGACTTTAAAAGAATAGGTAAATACTATATTTTGAAAATTTTCTAAAGTTTAATGGCATGCATAAAAGGAAAACTGAAATCACCCCTGATCTCCACAAATGAAGATGGCACATCCAAATTCTATGAGCATATACAAAATAGGCAAGTGTAAATGCAGATTTCCTATCTCATACTTACTTAAATAAATATGACAAATAAATATGAAAAAGTATAACTTTTAGAACAAACTATAAGAATATATTTTCAGAACAAGATATGAAAGATTTTTCCATTCAAGACAAAAAAGCAGAAATCACAAGGATGAGACTGATAAATGTGACTACATGAAAGTTAAACTTTTGATTGACAAAATATATTATATACAAAGTTAAAAGACATGTCACAGGGATAAGATACTTAAATCCCAAAATAATCAACAAAGAATTTATATCCAAAATATGTAAGGAATGCTTATAATAAAAGAAAAAAATTAAAGAGGCTAAGGTATAAAGACAATAATAATGATTTATCATTCCTGATAAGAATTAGGGTCACACTAAAATCAGACAAAGATTTGGAAGGGATTTGGAAAAGTAGGAATTACTATGCACTGCTGGATAGAAGTATAAACTTACACAAGCAATTGGCAATGTTTAGTAACCTCAAAATGATACATTTCCCTACAATCCTGCATTTTCACTTCTAGGCATAACCCACACTAAAAGTCTCACATGTTTCCAAAGAAACATGTTAAGATATTAACTGCAGCAAGAAATTTAGTAAGAAAATTGTGAACAACCTTATCAGTATGGCAACAGATACATTAACTGGTAGATTCATATAATAGAATGATATAAAGCACTTAAAATAAATGTACTACACATACATGGATCATTGGTAAACCTCAGAAACAATGTTGTGTAAAAAAAGTGAGACTGCAAAATGTTATAGAATATGGCATAAACAAATGTAGCAAAAATATGCATAGATAGCATATATATCAATTTCAGGGAAGTGGCTACTTCTAGAAAGGAAGAGAGGGGAAGAAAGGAGAAACAGAAAAGAGGGGTAAGTCTTAGTTATTCCAAAAACATTGTATTCCTGAGAGAAACAGGGAGAGAGAGATCTGAAGCAAATGTGACAAAATATTAGCACTTGTCAAATTTGAACTGTGGATAAAAAAAGTGTCCAAATTTCTTTCTGTACTTTGCTAAGAATTTTAGTATATTCTGTAACTTAAAAAATAACTTGTGACATTCCATTTACTACTAATTAAGTCTATTTTCTTGGAGCTAGTACAAAACAGAAAACTTATATGATGCAATTAAGTCTAAAGCTTGAATTTGTAGTATTATAAACACTTACTCCATACTTATATGTGCAAGGCAGTTGAACTAGTGTTAAGTAGGATACAGAATTTTTTTAAAAAGTCTTCAAAGGTTTTCCAGCCTAGCAGAGTCACACACTAACGTTGCTAAGTGGCAAAATAAGGTAAGTGCATTTTTCTGTGGAGATGCAAACCTTGTTCACAGATTAAAATATGGGGAAAACCTGTATGGTTATCTACATTAAAAAAACAAAACTAAGACACATCAAAAACATATTCTTCAACCTTGGGTTTTGATAAGTATTACAGTATAATTTAGGGAGAGCATATCTGGAAAGAGTAATACAATCTAAGTATAATGTTATCTCCTTATCTCATATAAAACAAAGACTAAGCTTATAGAGCCAAAGAGACAATGTATATTTTTTTAAAAAAGGAAAGCTATACAATTTACACATAATTCCAATTCTTTTTTAAAAAAATCAACAGTATTTCTTATATATTTATAATATATAACAGAATACCAAGAGCAAGTCACATGATTTTTCCTATCCTTTATTTTGCTTTTTTCTCTTTCTATTGAAAGGAGATTTTGTTTGTTTTTAAAGTAGAAAATGAGAAAAATAATTTTTGAATATATATGTATGATTAAAATGACATTTGAGCCTTCACAAGACTATTTAAATCCTGTTAGGCTTTTTTCAAAAAACTTCATATACAGGACAATTACTTTATATAACTGTATTATAAAATATAAGCATACATTTTCACTTGAACCTATCAAAATTTCATAAAAAAAAAAGATAGAAAGCCTCTACTTAGAAAATATTTGTAAAATGTCACTAAGAATTTTTTTCTCTTTGCATAAGAACAGAAACATTCTATTTGCTTTCAACTGACACAATTTACCAGTGAAAACAATTTACAGGTGAAAGAAGGACCATGCCCACCATCATTAGATTGTTCTTTGAACCTAACTGCTACTATTCTGCCAGATCTTTAGAAATTACACACAAAATGTTGATGATGGTACTACTGATAATCAGACCATTTTATAACTACATAATGCACTTCTAAATACACTATTTTGTTACATACCACCAGTGTATTGAGAAATTCAACTGACAAGAGCAGGAGAAAGAACCTCCTATATTCTTTATTCAAAGTTCAAAGCACATACAAAAAGAAAATTGTCTAAGTTCAAGGATGAATGAAGGAGAAACACTTTAAAACAATAAAAACTGAGTTGAAATGGCAAGGTTTATAGCTTAAGTCATAGCTCATTCTCCTTTGACAAAGATTATTTGATATTATGCCATCAATGTTAAAAGTTTTAGCAATCTGAAAAATTTCACCTAATTTTCCACTTACTGCTCACTGCTTTTTAAGAGTCCTTTAGAATTTAAATTTAAAGCAAAATTTCTGTCAACAGAGCTCCTTCATGTTTACCTAAACTGAAGCATAAAGATCAAAAGGCTGAATGGGGTGTGTGTGTGTGTGTGTGTGTGTTCAGAGAGAAAAATGAACATTAACTACTAGGAAATATGAAAGCAGCACTCTAGAAGTGCTGTTTATAAACAAATGCTTAAAGAAAACGAAAAGAAAAATCACTCTACAACCTATAATGGCCATTTATAAATAAACAGAATATGCTTTTTTAGCTACTTAAAATAAATTTAAGAATGTACCTGTGGTGTCCAGGAAACAGAAAATGAAACAGGAAAATCCACAAAGCAATCTGGTGATTCTGCAGGGTACTATGTAAAAGCAAAAAAATAGGTTATTTTTACTTCTGTGTGACAATTTCATATGAGGTACTTTAGAAAAACTGATTAGCAAAAGTATAAATGCAAATGTATTATATATAAATATTTTAATTCTACTCTTATAGAGATGTCAAGAACTGATTAGTAAAGTTATGCTGAAGAGGTACAAAGTTTGGTGATTTGGGGGTAACAATGCAGTCAGTTTTGAGAAAAGAGGAATGAATAAGGTCAGTGGTAGGTCAGCTGCTAATGTGATTTGAGGGGTAAACCAAACTGCACCTCAGTTTCTTACCTATAAATAAAATAAAAGATCAAACTAATTGGTATTAGTTTCCTATCTAAAATTTAATCTCAAAGAGCCTCAGTTACTATAAAGAGGCAGTATCAGAATCAAGAAATACACAAAAATACAAACAATTATCCATTATAAAAAGTATTTTCTAGCCGGGCCAGTGTGCCTTATCAGTTGAGCATCGACCTATGATCCAGAAGATTGAGGTTTGATTTCCAGTCAGGGCACATGCCTGGATTGCAGACTGGATCCCCAGTGGGGGGAGTTCCTCCGCAAGAGGCAATGGATCAATGACTCTCTCATCACTGATGTTTCTATCTCTCTCTTTCCCTCCCCCTTCCTCTCTTTGAAATCAATACATATATTTTTTTTAAAAGTATTTTCCACAATTAAGCAATTACTTTCAATAAGAAGATAAATAAAAAACAAACAATAAAATGCCTTCTTTATTAAGGAGAAACAAAAGTAATAGTTTTAAGCCAGAAAACATTTTCATGGCTGATAAACAGAAAATCAATTCCTCAACAGTTTTATACAAAAAGTGATAGTCATTAGGACAAAACAGGTTTTTAAGTCAACAAAGACAAAATGCAGTTTTTCTTAAAGTCAATTTTGTTATTAGAAAATTATACTACATGGTTCCTCTAAAAGGCAATTCTCGATTTTTAGTTGCATGTAATTTAAAAAATACTCATTTCTGTCCATTAAAAAGCTAAATTTACTAAAAGAAAATTAGCTTTAGGAAAACTCATTTCTCTCATTTGACAAAATGTTTAAAATAAGTTTTAGGCTCACTTTTTTCAGCTTATTTTTCACTACTTTGCTGAATAAAGCAAAAAGGGGCAAAAATTATCACTATAGTATTTAAAAAACATCAGCCCACTGAAGTCAATGCTCTGAAATGAATTAACATTTAGTTATAATGATCTCTTGAGAAACTTATCGCAGATTCTGACTAATGGTATCTGGCTATGTAGAACTGGTAACACAAAGGCAAATACACAGGAACCTATATAAAAATATAAGTAGGCTCTAATTTGGAAAAAATGAAGAAAGGCCAGGCTGAAATTAAGGAGGGAGCTCTATTTCAAACAATTAAAATATCAGATGATGTATTTAAGAATGTATCTGCTGCAATCACTGGAACAACAATTTGTATGCCATTTTTATAAGTCATGTGATTATCTCATAGTGACTGCAGCCAGAGACTTGAGCTTTCGCTGGTTTTCAGGCTGCTAACTAATTTGTGTGATCTTGGACAAGTCAGTAAACTTCTGTTTTATAAGTAAAAATGATGAAACTTAACTAAAAGTGTTATAAAATCTCTTTTCCCTCTAAAATGTTAACATTCCATAAAACTAATAATGCACACTTGAAACCTCCATGGATCAAAAATGGAGTATTTAGTCTGCTTTGACATGCTATTTATCTCCCACTGATGCTGACAATGAACAATATCAACTCTCTAACTTAAACAAATCATCAATGTGAGTAAGAGTATGAAGTTAATGAAGTGTTTACTGTATTTAGAGTAGACAACCCAAGTAAAGTACCTATGACTTTAGAAGTCATTAAGTACATACAACTCATTATGTTAAAAGAGAATATGATCTTATATTTAAGTAGGACTCAGTACAGTAAATGGTACATATGTACTGACATAGAGACCTAATAGTTGAACAAAAAAGCAAGTTATAAAAAAAATAATATGATCCCACATATATAAATGTAGGATAGTTTCTGAGATAAATATCTTTTAAATATATTTTATGTGTAATTATGCAAACATATAAACATAAACCAGACTGATCTATTTGTAGGTTGCTTTACTATATATCTATGATAAGTTAATGCATATA